CTGCCATCTATTTTCCAACCCTATTTTCCATTAACCTTATTCCTCCCAGACAATCCAAACCATTTATCATTTCCTGAACAAGTCCTAAATTTTCTTATCTTTATGCCTTTGTTCACACTATCTCTAATAAATCTACTGCCTCTAATCAAAATCCTATCCAAGCTTGATCCAACTCAGTGTCAATCTCCAAGGCAATATAGTTCAGCAAAAAGACAATGAACATGGCTTTATAGTTGTTCTTAAAACTCTCTCCACAGCCTCCAACATACTCTTCCTACTCTCTCAGTTAAAAAATAAAAAATCAAGTTAGCTTTCTTTATGCTCCTATGCTTCTTTACATAGGTTTATTTGCAGGAATTATCACACTCTATCTTACACAGTAGTTATTTTTGCTTCATTTTCCTATTAGGTCATAAAATCCTTGCAAACTCAAAATGTTTTAATAATTTTGATTCATGCCATCAAGTATGAAATAGTTATCAACAAATGAATTGAACAGTGTGAACATTCATATGTCAAATATAACAAAGTACGGGGGTCATGACTTTCCTAAAGGCTAAGTCGTTGGCTGCTGAAAATTCAGAAATTGAATGAGAGAGACTGCATATGAAATTTTAGGCCCCAAGAGAAAAGGGGCTAGGAGTTCTCTCAAAAAAAGAATAAAGATTGTTTTTCTTCTTTCTCTAGGATGATAAGTTCAAGTTAGTAAGTTGCCTGTATTCAAATGATACTACTTCCCTTTCTCTTCCCATACTTGGCCACAAGCATTTATAAGTTGGGTCCATTATCAACCAATATGGAGCACCCCAGACAGGCTATTGGTTCACCCAATATCCAGCCTATGTATATGTGTCTTTGTCTCCTCTGTATCAATTCTTGTTCTGAAGAGTTCTAGTCATGGTTGCAGGACTGGTTTCACTCTACCAAACTGTCACAGGTCATAAAGAATTCTAAGTGGCTCAAGGTCACTTATTTCAACTTGCCATAGGGAAGGATAGTGCTGGTGCCCAGGAACTAGAAATTAGCCTGCATAAAAGTATGACAGATTCCTCTCCTGTTTGGAAACCTTTAAAAAAAAATTATTTGCATTGCCTTATAAGGAAGTCCTTAGCTAATGAGAGAAATTAACTTGTTTCTCAGATTTGTAGCTAATTTCTAGCTTGAAGTGCTATTTTCTTCATCTCCTGAATTTTTTCTTTAAGGAGTACACTAAAATTTTTAATTTTTTAAAAAAATATATAAGCAATAAGTAAATATTTCCAAAAGAGATAGCATTAACATTATATGCTCAATATTTTACCTCCCATTATCACTTCTCTGCCCTTTGTTGTTTCTGGAAAATCAAGAAGTCAGGGGATCTGTCAGAAAAGCAAGAGGGTGTGATTGAAATTAGCCATATAACTGGACACCACATATGGTTGGCCTGCCTAACATAAAATGGGAATTATTTTGTGTTCTACCAACTCCCTGGGGCCCCAGAAAAGGGACATATGAAGGAAATTCAGAAAAGAGCAACAAAATTATTAAGGAGCTGTGAGGTTGATTTATGAGGCACATTATGAGGGCTAAGTACATGTGGCTTGACTAAGCAATGACCGACTGAAGGCAAGATGAATATCTATGAGTTAGAGAGAACAGAATCTCTAAGGAAAAGACAGGCAGGGTGCTATCCTGGAGGTGATAACATCATAGTCACTGCCTTTATTTGCCCCATTTTTAAATAAGGAGGGGCTTGCTTTATATTTCAATTTCGTGTTACAGAAGTAAGCTCCAGCATTTTCTAGAATCTTTTAAAGGTATAAGAAAGATAAAGCAATTGCAAAGAAAACAACCTTAAGGTTTCCCTTTATAAAATATAGACATTCTCCAACATGTTCTGGGGAGGTGTATTGACAGATAATAAGACTATAGATCAACTGACAGAGTATCTGAGGACAGAAAAGGCAGAAATGAGCCTCTAGTATCATACCTGGGATGAGGGAAAAGGAAGAGAGGAAGAGTTGAAGGGAAAAAATTATGTGGACCAAGTTCCTTGCAACTCACGACCCCTCACAGTTACCATCCTAGTTGGTTGCCAAGTTCAGCAATTTAGCAAGCTTTTCCAATAAGGTCTCCCCTGACTTTCCCAGATACCTCAACTGCCACAGAGTCTATTTCACAAAAGAAAAAATCACCATCTATATGGTAACTTTTAAACTCTGAGTACCAAGAAAGACTGAGAGAAGTTGGATGGCAGAAGCAGATGGGCGAGGCTGCTAGGACCAATCTAGCCTCTGCTATTGCTAAAGGACAAAGAGTCTCCAGTTCTTACCTCATCTTATGCAGGGCAGTGACAAGTGCCAAAGGTTAAAGTGAGGTCTGCAGTACCTCAAAAGTCCCAAGAACAACTGATCACTTGCCTGTCCCCAAAGGAGGTGATGGGATATTATAATGGATACAGGCACACTACCTGTCCTCAAGGGACTCCCAGGCAGGAGAGGCAGGAAGATGCAGAAACAGAGCTGTAATGATTTAGTGATATCAGAGAGAGGCAAGCTGTGGCCACCATGGATGACTTTAGATGTCATGTGGTTATTTTCAGATGGTTTTATTCTCAATTTACAATTGTTTTAACATGGAGAACCTGATCCAGCATTTATAGCAAATGATTGAATGGCTAAGTATTGTTTTGCTCAAAATCTTGCTTTCTTCTGAAAGAGTAACCTCTGCTTTTCTGGGGAACTGTTCCACCTTCCCATTCCAACCAGGTGTGTTAGGGAATTCCCAAACCTCTTCTTCCTCGTCTCCATGGATCAGCCCAAGGTGGGTGCAAAAAACTTCATTTTACATCATTCTACATTGTGTCTAAGGGAAACGGACATTCTTTCTGGGATGGCAAGTCATAAAATAAGAAGTTTGAAAGGACCATCCTCCCTGGTATAGAAGAAGTAGTTTTGTGTTTTGACAACACAAAGAAACATCAGAGAGGATTGATAGAGGGGGTCCTATCTGCCTTCAAGTCCCTGATCCTAGTGGCCTGTGAGGCCAAGTGGCACCATTCCCATTCAATTACTATGCAAAATACCACAGCATCCTTTCTATGAAGTCTTCCTTTAGCCAAAACTCATTTGTGTTTGGTTTCCATCACTCATAGTCAAGAGTCCTGAGTGGCAGCTTGCTTTAGCAGTGACTTCTTGACATTTGCATCCCTGTCTTCAAATGACAACTTTCTTCTCATTCTTTCCTTTCCAACACCAGTGTTGTCAATTTCTCCTCATTCTGGCTTAGTCTACTCATACTCTGAAAACTTGGCCATTGCTCTTTGCCTTCCATCAGCCATGCTTGGACTTGCTTCCTGTCTAGTTTTCCAGAAAGCCAGCTTCCATTGCACAGTACATTAAAAGGGCAGTCTACCAACAGCCACTACTGAATGGGTAGAGAGCAGGGCCTGGCAATCTATACTTTTAGAAACTATACATTCTGGTTGTTTCTGATGTACAATCAGGTGGAGGCCATCTCTGGGACAGATGCCCCATGAAGCCCTTCGACTTGATAAGTATATGAATGTCCCTCTCAGGCATGAAAATTAACTGTTCTACCTCTGGTTAAGCTTTGAGTACTGCACAGTCTCATTTTCCTTGAAGAAAGCAGACTTCTTGGAAGCTTGGAAGTGCATACAGCAGTTCCAAGCTGTAGAGAGCTATCATGAAGGGGCTGGAGGTGACCTCATCCACTGGGGGCTTTTCGGGGACAGGCCTGGTCCTTTAACAAGCTGCCTTTGATTTCCTTTGTAGATAGATGATGTAGAGGCAATTTGTTTCTTTTAAAGTCTAGATTTATATCACAGCTGTATATTTTTTCTTATAAAGAGTCTTCTTTGAGCTACCCTCAAAGAAGCTGGGCATAGTTTTGTTTTGTTCCCCCAGCCCCCAGGAAAGCAGCAAAGTTGAAGTACAAGGGGGGGAATTGTTTTTAATCCTCAAGCAATGTCACCTTTGGAGCAATAAAACTGCTCTCTCTTTCTCATGAGAGATGACAAGCATTTCACAGCAGCCATTTTTTTGAAAGTGGTTGCCAGGTGGGAGAGGTATTCCATTGCTAAAGAATCTGCCAAGTCAAGCAAGTCCCTCCCTTTGCTCCTCTCCCTGCTTCGCTGAGGTTTTGACATTGGCTAAGCTGGACCAAACTTTCAAAGACTCTTGGACTTTTACATGTGCTATTTTTCAATTGGCATAATCCAGCAGGTGTTTCCCTTGACCAAGAGGAAAGCTTCTTTCTGTCATTGATTTGTGTTTTATTGTGTTTTACTTTTATTTCTACCAAACCCATGGAACTTGGGGCTTAAGACTTAGTAAAACTTGGAATGACTAGAGTCAAAAGAATTTTGCCATTTGGCCAATAGCATCCATCCCCCACCCTTACAAAGAGATTTCTTTCCTTTTCTGTTTTAACTTTTCCCCCCACTTTTTCCCCTTCTCCTCTCCCCTTTCCTCCATCCCTCCACAACATATTCAAGGAGTGCCCTAAACGGTGACAAACTCGCATGTGCTTTCCTTATGACTAAATCCCTGGGCCTCTCGCCAATCCCCCACAGATGGCCCCAAACTTCAGGCATCCCGTTAAAAGGGCCCCACGTTTGCAGCCCTGGTTGGAACAGTCAGGGTGGAGGAGGGTGATGGGGAGTGGCAGTGTCTTCGTCCTGGGGGAAGGTGAAGCAACTTCCAGGAGGAAACGGGCGTTTCCTTCCCACGCGCTGGTGAGCCTTGGGTCTTGGCCTGGGGCTCCACCCAGCCCCTCCCCGCGCTCTGGGAAAAGCCAGTCGCCACACACAGGCACACGCAGGCCCGGCGCCGCGCCCTAAGGAGAGCAGCCTTAAGGCCAATTGCCATGACAACTCCGCGGTTCCTTCCACTTCCCCACCCAACGCATTGCCCCCTCCTCCCTCGCTGCAGCCAACCGGCTTGTGCGCGTCCCAGGAGCGCACTATAAAACCTGCGCCGGTGGCGCTTACGGCTCAGCGGACCTGTGGGGAGGCGGGGAGTGCCATTCTACAGGCTGCAAAGTCTCCTCTTGGAAACGCGGGAGGAAAAATCCTGAGCATGCACAAGGTGCAGAGCATGAACCTCTTTGTGCAAAAGAGGTGCCTTTGCCTGGCCTTCCTACTCCATCTCCTGGGTCAGGTAAGTGGCACACCCCTAAAATGCCCCTGGTTACTTTACCCTCCTGGACAGCCTCTGCTCAGTCCCTGGGCTCGCTCTGCCTTCGGTTGTCCCTGCTGAAGGGTTTCTTTTTGTCTCATCACCTTCCCTAGGTCTCTGCGACTCAGCGCTGCCCCTCACCGTGCCCACGCCAGTGCCCCGAGACGCCTCCGACCTGCGCCCCGGGGGTGCGCGCGGTGCTGGACGGTTGCTCCTGCTGTCTAGTGTGCGCCCGCCAGCGCGGAGAGAGCTGCTCGGAGCTGAAGCCTTGCGATCAGAGCAGCGGACTGTACTGCGACCGTAGCGCCGACCCCAGCAACCAGACTGGCATCTGCATGGGTAACCTGCCCCCTCTGTCGCTTGACTTCTTCTCTCCCAAGCTAGCAGGAGCGTTTTCCCCACCTCCTCTCCTCTTATTCCCTTTCCCAAAGGGTGATAAGCAAATAATAATAATGCAATAAGAGATGTTTATGGAGCACTTAGTGCTTGCCATGCAAGGTCCGAGGGGGCTTGGGGCTTTGGGGAGCGCCAGAAGCTAGAGAGAAAACCTGCCCACGGAGGTGAGAAGCATTCATCACTTGCTTCCCTAGAGAAGAATCTAAATGGAGTGGACCACAGGGAACGAAGTCGGGTTAAGGACCAGTGAAATCATTTCCTTTGGACATTTCCAGAGGGACAATTTGGATATGATGGAAAGCTGGGCTCACTCATGGGCTTACAGTTCCCCACCTGCAGCCCAGCAGGTTTGTTTTCACACCTGTAATTGTCCTATTAAAGCCAAAGCAGCTTCTAGTCTCCTGGGAGGACGATGTAAACCCTGTCTGGGTTGCGTGTAAAGTAAAATTCAGGCAACCAGCCAATCCAGGCTTGTGAAATTTAATCAATTGGGGTTCAGCTTCCCTCGTGGTGCACCACCATACTCGGAGGTTGTCTCTGCCTTCCTGGATACCAGGGCTTGAAGTCGCTTTACAGTTTTTTCTCTAAGCCAATGATTTATTGTGCTTCAATGTCAAGGAATCTTAATGCTCTTTATTTGACTAGTAAATAACCTCTTTGCAGAATATGAAGTGCATTTTCTTCCTTTTTAAGTCTAAAGTACTGAAGTAGAAGAATCAGAGATGGTTCTTGTGAAATGACTGTCATTGGGGACAACAGTGTGTCAAGAACAACTCACAATTGCTCTTCCTTTTGTTCTATCTTATAAACGAAAAAGTTGGGGTGGGGGACAAATAATCTCAAAAGGAAGCAGAGAATATTTCAGAAGCCATTTGTCAGTCAGCTTATTTATCTTGGCAGTACTGAGTTTACAGTTTCACACACCTCTTTCCCCATTCAAAAGGACTAGGTAAGGACTGTAGCAGGACTAGATGGTCTTGGAGGTTTCCTCTTGCTCTGGGAGGACTCCATGAAGACATCTGTCTCCTGGAGATGCATCAGAAACCAGATCACCTGAAATAGAAAAGGAAAGACTTCGGAACATGTCCTCCAAATTTCACATAGCTCTCTCAGTGAACTGTGTTATTGTTTTTCTCTCTCTTCTTCCCTCTGTGTTGCTCCCGCAATATTCTAGTGCTAGAAGGAGACAACTGTGTGTTCGATGGGGTAATTTACCGCAGCGGAGAGAAGTTTGAGCCAAACTGCCAATATCACTGCACCTGTAGAGACGGACAGATTGGCTGTGTGCCCCGGTGTCAGCTGGATGTGCTACTGCCTGGTCCTGACTGCCCAGCTCCCAGAAAAGTTGCTGTGCCTGGAGAGTGCTGTGAAAAGTGGACCTGTGGCCCCAATGAGAAGGGGACATTGGGAGGCCTTGCCCTTCCAGGTGAGCCATTCGGTATACTCAGGAATGGTCACGGCACAGGGTGAATGCAAGCACAAATCACATGCATTGTTTGGGTTTGGGATGAGAAGCTGGCCCCGGTTTCTGGCCATTCTGCTATAGATTCCAGATTGTCCACTGAGATTAAATGCACCATGTCTTTCAATCCAAACTAAGTTACTGAAGTGTGCACACAACTTTTCCTAAAGAGGACCTGAAAAATTCAGTCGCTATTTTTTTTTCTGTCTTATGACTACTATTTATATTTTAGTCTATTCATCCAACTTGACCCTTATTAGCACTATGAGGATAAAAGTAAGAATCCTCCTTTTCTGGATTCTGCATACCACCTGTGCTTTCTTGGAACCAGCCTCCCTAAGGAATGCTACTCCTCCTGATGCAGTGGTCACAGAGAAATACCATCTTTCCAGATGCTGTAGAAAGGGCCAAGTGACACTTCAGGAACTTTATTTTGCATTACTTTTTATTTCCTTATATATTACATAGTTTGAGGATGGAGAGATCTCAAGAGACAGTAGAGAGTATTTTAGGAGCCATTAATCAACCACATTATTTATATTGGCAGAATCCACAGTTTTTCAGTATTTCTGAGGTCAGAAATTATCAGACATGTCTTGCTGATAGGAAAACTGCCTTGCAGAACAGATATTCCCCCAAGCCATGTATATTAAGTTTTGAGATGGAACTGTTTGTGATCAGAGTCCAGCGGTGTGTGTGTGTGTGTGTATCTCCCAGAACCCAAACAACCAGTTCTACCTACTAAAAGCATTGCTTTTATCATTATTTTGACTTGGCCAATTCTATTACTCATCACGATTAAAACTTTCTCACAATCCTTTTTATGTACAAAATCACATGGAAACACTGCAGCTTATGGAATAGTTTCCAATTCTGTACTGTTCTATAGTCTTAAAACTGGTAAACTTTAAAAAGACAAGTTAGCCTAAGTTTCTTAAGGTCTGGTTGGACAGTTATTCTGCAGAGATTTCTTGAAGTCTTACAATGTGGCAGGCATGGTGCTACCTAGAAAGGTTTACAGATAATTTCATTTCTGTGCCTTCAGAGCACCTGTGTTCATTAGGTACAAAATTTAATGAGATCCACTTCGTAATGTTGGCTTAAAGGAGCACTCTTTGATCCCTACATTTTCCCCAAGATAGCTGTCTTTCTTTATCCATCCCCTAGCCTACAGGCCAGAAGCCACCGTAGGAGTTGAAGTCTCCGACTCGAGTATCAACTGCATTGAGCAGACCACAGAGTGGAGTGCATGTTCCAAGAGCTGTGGAATGGGTCTTTCCACCAGAGTCACCAACAGGAATCGTCAGTGTGAGATGGTGAAGCAGTCTCGGCTCTGCATGGTGCGGCCCTGTGAACAAGAGCCTGAGCAACCAACAGATAAGGTAGGAACCTGCCATCATGAAAGCAGTGGCCTTGCCTTCTGGGAGCCTGGGCTTCAGCAAGTCACTTGTAATACTAATTGACTCAGGTTGTCTCTAGTTGGGCATTAATCCCAGAGAAAAGGCAGAGAGGTTCCTGAATGCAGACCAAGTAGCTTCTTTTTCCCCCTTTTTTAATGTATTTAAATACCCCCAAGCAACCTACAGCAGATCTACAGGAAAAGAGGGAAGAGCTAGACAACTGTAATACTTTCACCAATAGAAAATGGCCCAGCAGATCCCTTTCCATTCCTGGAGAAAATTCACTACCCCGTCATCAAACACAACTGATTTGAAAGAGGTCAGCTCTGACTGCAGTTTCCTTCACCTCTTAGGTTCAATCAGCATGAAACACATTGGTGGGGACTGTGTCTGCTTACTCTTCCCCAAAATGCCCAGCACCCTACCTGGAACACAGGGTGTGCATTATCAACTATTGTTGATGAATACATGAATGAGTGTCTGGGAATTACTGTCGGTATTTGTTAAAGCCTAGTGGAAACAGTACACTTGCCATCATAAGGCAACATGTGAGCCAAGTGAAACAGTGCATTTCTTTCCCTTTTTTTGTTGGAATTCTGTCAGCTCAGTGTGTTAACTCTGAGTGTAAGGCATGCAGATCCGAAGCTCTGATTGGTTCATGATGACATCACAGGCCCTGTTACCAGAGCCCTACATCAGAAAAATGTAATACCTAAATTGAACCATTCTATGGACAAACCTAATGCCAAAATAAAACAGCCCTCAGAAATTCAAGATTGACATATCTCTACACAGAGGCAGGATCATCTAATGCTTAAGGCTACAACTCTACAGCCAGACAGCTTGGCTTTAAATCCCACTTTCAGCATGAACTAGCTGGGTGGTCTTGGAAAATTTCCTTAACCCCTCAACCTGAATTCCTTCCCCCATATAATGGGGTCATTGAAAGTGTCTACCTCAAGGTTAGCAGAAAGATTAAGCAGAATGAATTTGCCAAGTGCTGAGCATAGATTAAATATTCTGTTAACAGTAGCCATCATTACTTAAAATTTCAACTTACTAATAAAATAAAAGAGTCCCTAGAGGTTGCATTAGTTATATGGCTATTTAGCCATATGATTCTTTGAGGTCCATCCTAACATCATGTTGCTTCTATCACTTCAAAAGAACTCCTAAAAACATCTTTTCTAGAAAATTATACCCTAAAAGATGCATCTCCCCACACTTGGGAAACATACATGTAATAGCCATGTTTATTTAACCCACACAAGCAGTCACACATTTATACACACATACTCACACATACACAAACACACATATACTGCCCCATGGGGATGCTTTGAGCATCTTTTTGTAGATGTTGACAAAAATTTATGCTAGACATTAAAATTTTAAACATGCAAAAAAAGGAAGCCTTTCAATAGTTTCAAGGACATAATGGCTACTTTATTAAATAAGGTCTTTCCATCTTCTAAAATTTGGCATTTTCAATTGTTTCTTTTTCACAAAATTAGTACTTTGAACCTCATTTAACATTGCAAGGTATTATATTTAAGATGTTTATTTATACTGTACATATGTCATAAAAGTTCTAGAAAGTTGTTTGAAATCTAGGGAAGTACAAACATAATAATCATTTTTCCCTTATTCTTCAGTGAGACGGTGGCTTTTAGAGTGTACTCCCCAGACCGGTAGCAGCATCTAAAAACTTGTTAGCAAATTTGTGGGCCCCACATCAGAGGTACTGAATCTGAAACTCTGGAAATGAGACCCAGCAGTCTGTGTGTTAACACTCCCAGGAAATGATTCTGTAGCACACTCGGTTTTGAGATCATCTGATCAAAGAGAATTTAGAGTCTATTCACCCCATAAGCTGTTCCTAGAAAAGTGATCGGGGAGAACTCTGGCAAATCCACAGCTTAAGAATTGAAGTAGGAAATAAAACAGTCCATTCTCTGTTGAAAATCAACACCAAGGTTCCTCATTATCCAGTTTATTTAAGGGATCTTAAATTAATTCTCCACTTACTTCACATTGATGAGAAAGTATCTTAAATCCCATCATCTTCAAGTTTCCTGAGGTCATCATATAGTGGAAAGAACTGGCTTTGTAATAAACTGTCCATCAGAGGCGTGGTCATCATTCCTCATATCACTCCTTTTCTTCTTAGAAAGGAAAAAAGTGTCTCCGCACCAAGAAATCACTCAAAGCCATCCACCTGCAGTTCAAGAACTGCACCAGCCTGCACACCTATAAGCCCAGGTTCTGTGGAGTCTGCAGCGATGGCCGATGCTGCACACCCCACAACACCAAAACCATCCAGGTGGAGTTCCAGTGCTCCCCAGGGCAAATCATCAAGAAACCAGTCATGGTCATCGGAACCTGTACCTGTCACACCAACTGTCCTCAGAACAATGAGGCCTTCCTCCAGGAGCTGGAGCTGAAGACCAGCAGAGGGGAAATGTAATGTGGCCCTCAAGAAGCCCACCTGCAGAGGCAAACTGTAGCTGCTGCATGACCCGTCATCAAATGAGTATAAGAAAAACAATGAAGAACCATTACTGCATCCTTGAGTCCTATGTATTTTTCTGTGATCATATGAGGTCATTTATGTCTGTCTTTTATAATGAAAATATTTCAGCTGTAAACTTGGAATCAAGGTAAGCTCAGGATATGGCCTAGGGATGACTTACTTTCCTGTGGTGTTTATTACAAATGCAAATTTATATCAATTTAAGTCAGATACCTGATTTACTTTGTAGACTATACCATGTTCATTCATTTTACGTTGTTTTGTGCACTCGTACAATTCCTAGAAAATGCCATTGTAGTGAATGACAGTGAAGTCGAGGCTCATACTGGACATGCTGTCGTACAAGTATTTCACCATATATTGAAGTTTGATTTGAGGGTTCTCTATTGGGCTCCCTTTTGGGGTAGGGCAACTCTGCACTTCCAAGCCCAAGAGCCAAGGAAAACTTCAACTCTGCAAAGTGAAGTCAGAGATTCTTAATTTCCTATTTAACTGTACACTAGAAAGCATGCTGTTATCTACAGTAATGAACTGTTTGTTAATGAAGTGGACTGGTGTCATGAACTTTCTCCATTTCCAACAAATTGACTCCTTTCTGTTTGAAAGAAGCTAAACAGAAAACTCCCAATATAGAGATGACTGCGCCTCAGCAGCCTTCATACATTTGCCTCCTGGAGGCTGCTGAGGCTCAATAACTTTTTTTTAGAATTCAGCAGAGATGGAGGAGACCAGCAGGGAACCTCTCATCAGTAAGTAAACTGAGGCAACTCATTCCCAAAGCACTTTATTACAACCTCTGATGATTTTCAAATGTGCTTTCAGGAACTTTGAAAAAGAACAAAATCAATGCAACCCTGTTGGTGAGAAACCACAGATTTTATGAGAGTTCACAATTATTGTTGACATGCCCAACACACATCACTGGGTCATAATTATTAAAACTCATGAACAAGATACATGTGTATATACACATGCACCTAATAGGTCAGGTTTAATGAGACAGGCTTCAAAATTAAATCTTTATACATTTCTCTAATGTCACCATATGTGTTCCACTCTTCTCCTTTAAAATATTTATAAAAATGTAAATTATAGATTTTTGTAAAGTGTTCTTTTACACTTCTCTACTTTTCAGACATGACTAAAAGTACATGTTATTGGTGTGTGATTCTGGTATGACTTTTGTGCTTAGAAATTTAACATTGTTGTTCATTGAAAATAAAAATTGATGAATTTAATAGGACATCAGTCAGAAGCATCTATTGAAAGGCAAATGGGTATTTTGGGGCAAGCTTATAACCTCTTATCTGAAGGGAACCAACTGCTCTAACAGGTTAGGCCTCAAGTATTCACCACACCCTTTACAAAAGCCATGATTTTTTTTTTCCTGGACATCCCACTAGATAACTCTCTCTATATATATATTGAAATTTGAACTTGTCTGGCCAAACCCAATTCACCTCCCTGGCTTCCTTATCTAATTAAAAGTCTCTCCATCCTCCCAATTACCCAGCGGAAACTATTAGCATTCTCTTACCACATGCCCAGAAAAGCAAAACAGCTGCTCATCCAGATTCACCAATGCTGTATCCACAAATTCAACCAGCCAAGAATAGAAAATATTAGGAAAAACAAATGATATGTTGTTGCTGATGTGAACTGCGTGGCCTACAATATTTACACCAGTACTGAACATGTACAGACATTTTGTTGTCATTATTCCCTAAACAATACAATATAACAATTATTTACACAGGGTTCACATAGTGTTGGGCATTACAGGTAACCTAGAGATAACTTAAGATATGGAGAAGAAGGTGCATAAATTATGGGCAAATGCAATAGATTTTGTATAGGAGGCTTGAGCATCTGCAGATTATGACTTCCACAAGGGGCCCTGGGACCAATCTCCCTGGGAACTGAGACACAATTGTATTTCCAGTGATGATGCAGAGCAGAACGATGACCAGGGCTGCCATCTGGAAAACGTGAGACCCACACTCAGAGTTTTGTTTTCTGAAGTTTCTGAATGGTGCAGTGTGAATACATAGTACTTTCATAATTAAACAACAACCAAAATAATGTTTTCCTTTTCCCAACTTTACTTCCTCTGTCTACAGGTTCCTCCCCATCCGTCTCTATGGCTAGTTTTTGTTGTCTTTAAGATAAACAGGAAAGCAAATTGGACCAAAAGTTTATCCACAGGAAACTATCAAGGACACCTTGAATTTACTACACACCTATGTTGCTCTGAGCACTTCACTCATTTAATTTGTATAGTAACCCTATGAAATAGATACTCTTTATAACCCCAGGATACTAATGAGAAAACTTTTAAAAGTTGAAAGGTATAGACTATGGCCAGGCCTGGTGGTGCAAGCCTGTAATCCCAGTGGCTCAGGAGGCTGAGGCAGGAGGATCTTGAGTTCAAAGCCAGCCTCAGCAAAAGCAAGGCACTAAGCAACTCAGTGAGACCCTGTCTCTACATAAAAATACAAAATAGGGCTGGGGATGTGGCTCAGTGGTCAAGTGCCCCTGAGTTCAATTCCTGATACAAAAAAAAAAAAAAAAAGGTATAGACTATGAAAAGAGTAATTTATTTTTATTCAAAATTATGTCAACATCAATGAAAAGAGGCTCAGGAAAGAATGTACAAAATACTATTAATGATTATGGCAGGTCTCATACTATTTTCCTTTCCTTTCTTATGATTTCTTTTCTAACTTTCTTCAAAATGAACATACTATCTTTATAAGCAGAAAAAAAATTAAGGATGAATTGAGATGTCCTTTCAAGACTCATTTCCTTTGCAACTTTCCTCACTCATGTGGAGTTCACCACCCCTTGCAACATTGAAAATATTTACCAATACATTCATTTTATTCATGCCACAAATACTTGCTGGTTGCTTCTCTGCGCCCAGCGTTGTTTTGGGTACTAGGAACACAGCCAAGAAGAAATAAACTGAACACATTGTCCCCTTCTTTCTGTTATTTATACTATTGGGGAAGGAAGGCAAAAAGACATTAAATAAAAGCATAAATATCAAATAGTGAATAAATATATACTATGATCTAAATGAGGTGAGAGAACATTTCTGGGTGGCTAATTCAGCTTGAGATAGTCAAAAAAGTTGTTTCTAACGAGAAGACATTTTCTATGAATAACAAAGAAGAAGAGAGAGAACCTTCCAGTTAGAGGTAACAGCTAGTGCAAAACAAATAAACCTGCAACATGGAAAACACACGTGGCTCAAGCACAGAGTCTAAGGGAGAGGGAAGCAATACCTTGCTCCTAAGGAGGAGAGCTTGCTTCTGTCATCAAAGCTTTCACATTTTTTTCCCCAACTGATTATTTATACTCTCCATACAAGCATAATTGAGTCCAGTGTCTTGGTCTTCTTCCTATCTGACCAAGTCCCTGATACACGGCATGAATGGTCTTTGCATTGATAAAAGACAGAATGTTCTTTGAAATAAATGTGAGGCTTTTAAACTTTCATTTGCATGATCACTGTTCCTCTCCAACATACACAAACACACACACGTACGCATTCCTGAAATTATAAGTAAAGACTGCTGTGTTGAGCCAGTTTTTTATTTCTGTGACCAAAATACCTGACAAGAACAGCTTAGAGGAGGAAAGATTTATTTTGGCTCATGATTCCAGAGGTTCAGTCAGCTGGCTCTAAGGCAGAAATATCATGGCGGAAGGGTGTGGTGGAGGAAAACTGTTCGCTCAAGGCAACCCAGAAGCAGAGGAAGAGGAGGGGCTAGGGAGAAGGTAAACCCTTCCAGGGCTTGACCCCCGTGACCTACTTCCTCCAACTCAAGGTCCCACCTGCCAGCAGTCCATTCATCCATCAGTAGATTGATCCATCAAATGAGGTGGTCAGAGCCCTCATGATCCAATCATTGCCTACAAGGTCCACCTCTGAACACATGAGACTTTGGGGAACTTTTCAGATGAAAAACATAACCATTGGAAAAAATATGGTCTGATGTACAAATATCTGCAAAGTTCAGAACATTCTAGTAATATAGCAAGGACAGTGAAACTGACTAAGCAGAGTATAGGCTGCAGGAAGCATAGGTTGAGAGTTATTCAAGTTTGGGATTAAACACCAAGCTTACTCTTTCCCAACTGTGGGATATTGGGTGATGTTCCCAGTCCCTGCGTCTCAGTTTCCTCACCTGTAAGATGAGACCATATATATTGATGTGGTGACCAACTGCTGTAATTTGTCCTCAACTGAGATGATCCTGGGGACTTAGGACTTCCATGTAGAAAGTCAGGACATTCCCAGGCAAACTGAGACAAACTGATCATTCTAAATACTAACTAGACAGTGCTATGTCGTGTGCTCACAAGCACTTAATTCTGCCTGGCACATAGTAGGCCTCCTGCAAGCGACAGGCCTACAGTTTCTGGCAGAACCAAGCACTGCCCCTAATTCAGTGTAGTTAGTATACAGAGGTAGATGCAGTTGACCTCATTTTTATTAGGAAAGATAAAGAGATGGGGAAAAGTTAATGACCTATTAAGGACACAAAGAGTGAAGGAGCTAGGATTCAAACTCAGGGTCTGCTTAGCTCAGAGCCAAAGCTCTTTCCTTTTCACAGTGCCACAGCCACTGAGGCCAAGGATATTTTCAGCAACCAAAACAATTCCAACAGTTCTCATTTTTGTGCTATTTTCCCAAACTATAAATGTTCTCTTTTAGAAACAGCATTGCAAAGTAGTGAGACTGTTGAGATCATTCTGTGAATGTGAAGTTTTGAGAGCATTTAATCGCTGGTGTGGTGATAAGGCACATTTCATTGAAAATTATCATCAAAAATTATGTGGGGATTTTTCTTTTCTTTTTCCACACAAGGATTCAATTAAACAATGAGGCAAGGACATCTTTGACTACACAAGGAGATAATTTGTCA